CCCCGTGGCACCCCCAGCCCCACACCTGCAGCAGTTGTTGTTGCCACACATGAGCACCTCGCGGCCGCCGCAGCAGATGGTGCAGTAGGACTGGTACCCGTCGTCGTCGTACTGGTACGCGCACTCCAGAAAGCAGTTCTGGGGACAGCCAGGGTGTCAGTGCAGGCCTGGGGACACTGGGGACCCTGAGAGCCCCAGGCCGTGGCCCCTGGCCCGGTATCACCCCTTACCTTGCAGTTTTGGCACATCCCCCCGATGAACAGAGGGTGCTCCAGGGTCACGTTGAGGCTCCCGCAGGAGATGCAGATGTCTGGCAGAGAAGGGGAAACATCGCTCTGGCACCCCAGCCCAGTGTGGGGACACCCCGAGCCCTGTCCTGCAGTCCCCCAGGACACACTCACCCCATGCTGGGATCACAGCAGAGCTGGGGACCAACCCTGGGAGAAGCAGGCAAGACTCCCACTGCCCTCCAGCCCCACATCCCAGAAGCCCTGGGCAGTGTCCTGAGGGCTCCTGCCACCATCCAGGGTGGGCCACTGCTGTCCCTGCTGCCAGCCAGGCTGAGGGATGGGACAAGCCTGGCCTTCTTTCCTTGAGCTGCCCCCACACTCCTGTGTCCCTGAGATGCCCAGACAGGGCAGGACAGACCCCCCAGCCCAGCCCTTCCACACGTGCAGGATGTGCCCCAGCGCTGCACTCACCCTCGATGTTCCTGCACTTCTGCCGGACCTCGTACACCAGCCGCTCTGGGGGAACAGGGCAGTCAGGGGGCCTGGCCCCAGCCAAGCCCCCTCGGGACTGGGGGAAGGGAGGGACTCCCCGGGAGGGAAGGACCCCAGGAGAGAAGGGGGCCTGGCCTGGAGCAGCTCTTGTCCCCCCTCTCCCCAGTGAGCATGGCCAAAGCAACCCCCCGAGAGAGGAGCGGTGGGCATGGGGGCACCTGCAGCCCCCCGGTACCTCGGGTGCGCTCGTCGATGATCTCCTTGACCTTGGGCTTCTCCTGGGTTGTGCTTTTGCGGGGTTTTTTGGCGGGAGGGGGCGGTGCGTAGGCAGCTGCTTCGGGCTCGACCCACATCTCCGTGTAAACTTCTTTGTAGGGGTTCCGCTCCTCTGCGGGACCAGGCGGCGTCAGCAGAGTCCCCCCATGGTGTCCCATCACCAGGGGCCCCCAGCAGGGTCCCAGCCCCACAGCGCCTCCCTGCCCCGGCCTGTCCCACGCTGGTGACACCAGAGCTGGCAGCGAGAGACCCCCAGAACCCCGGGCACGTGTCCCCAGTGCCTCACCCCTCACAGGGCCTGCAGCCCCGCTCACCTTCGGGGGGCTCCAGCCCCTTGGGGCCGGAGGGCTGGAAGCCACCCAGGGCCCACTCGATCATCTGCTTGTTCTGGATCTCCACCACCTTGGACGTGTCCGTCTCGTCGTTCTCGGGACACGCGGGGAAGATCTTCCCAGCCCGGCTGCTGGCCACCTGTGGAGGTGCAGGTGTCACCCAGCCCCACAAGGGGGTCCCCATCCTCGGCCCGGGGGACTGCTCCTGCAGCGCCCATCCTCGGGGGGACCAACACGGTCAGGAACCTCCATGAGAGACCCCCAGCACTGTTGAGAACCCCCAAAGCCAGGATGTCCCCAGAAGAGACCCTCCCAGCAGCGCTGAGCGATGCCCTGAAATGCCTGAGCCCCAGAGACCCCCAGAGTCCCTGACCTCCTCCCCAGCCCCCCCACAGCCCTGCTGGGACAGGGGATTCCCAGACACCCCCAAAGCCTCCTTAGCGAGCACACGTGTCCTTAGGGGATCCCCCAGATCCCTCTGCCTTTTCAGAGACCTCCAGGTGGGGCAGGAGGGGAGGCAGGGCCGGGTCCTGGCAGGGTGGAGAAGCCCCTGCCCCGGGACGTCCCCCCTCACCTGCAGCACCTCGTAGATGGCCTTGCGGTACATGGGCTGCTTGTTGTAGGTGGCCTGGTGGAAGGCGCTGGCAAAGGAGCTCAGGGGCAGCAGCTTCTCCACGCACACCTGGGGACAGGAGCGGCCATGGGGACACCCGGAGCAGGGCTCCTGCCCCCCGGGCCCCCGCGCCACTTACCACCGAGAACTTGCCGTCCCCGAACCACATCACCCAGCGGGTGCCCTCGGCCGCGCGGCTCCGGCCCG